GCGCATTTGGTGCACTAACACAGTCAAAGCAATAATTGTGTAAATGACACTTTCGATTGCAATACGTGCAATGAAAAGAGTGTATTTATTTATGTTGACCTTGTGGTTGTGCACGGGAATCATTTACAAACATAGATGATCTTTTAAATTCATTTTGCAAGTGAGAAACATTATTAAACAAATGTGGTCTTATTGGAACATTTTGTGAAATTGAAGCTTTTTGCAAATCAAAACAATATTTCCCTAAATAACCAACTCTACCACAAAGATTACATTCAAACACACGATATCTTTTAGAAATATTTAGCAAATATGAAACCTTTTGTAAATCAAAACAAAATTTTGCTAAATGGCCAAAGTGACCACAAAGATCCCATTTATACACATTAGCATTCTTATGATGAACTTTATGTGCATGTGTATGTGTATATTGTGATGAAGCTTGATGAGATGCACAAACATGATTAGGCTTGATGGATTTTTGTGCATTATAACAAAATTTAGCAATATGTCCTTTTCGGCCATAAATGGAACACTTGTAAATATTGTTATACATGTGTGCATAGTGTGTAGGTTTCTTGAAAGAATTTATATGAGACTTTGCACATAAGTCCATAAGCTTATTATTATTGAGAATACATATTTTTAATATTGAATCTAATGATGATATGCAATTCTTAACATGATTCAACTCATTTACTTCCACAAATGCATTGTTATTAGAAGTAGAGGAAACATAACCATTTACAAAAGATTTAAATTCATTCCTAATGGTTTCTACTTCTAGCATGGCATTGTTTTCCTCATGAGTTAAGCTAGCAACTTTTGAAATTAAGGAATCATGATCCAACTTTTATTTTTCATTATTCTCTTTGAGGATCACATTCTCATTAGAAATTGTACCAAACTTAGATGCTAATAACTCATGATCGGATTTTAAAACAACAAGCTTGCTTTTTAAATCTTTAAAATTATGTTGCAACTTCTTATAGTCATTCATTAATTTTTAATATCCACAGGCAAGTTCATCAATAGTTAATTTATCATCATTATCAGACTCGCATACCTCACTGGGGCTATCACCTAGTGGCCGTGTACATAAAGATGCTCCATTTGAACTTGAGGAAGAAGCCGCCAAAGCGCGTTAGATCTCCTCCAACTTTCCTTGATGTGCTTCTATAAACTTCCATAATGTGTAAGCACTATCAAAAGAATCAAGCATGTTAGATAAAGATGAGTCAAAAGCATTTTGCAAGAATTCTAACAAGAGCTTGTTCATAGTAAATATTCTTTTGTTATTTTTACTCCACTTGGATTTCTTCGTAGTGGGTACAATATAAGCACAGTTAATAATTTCTCATAAATTAAAATATCTAGATGTAATAAAAAGTTTAAATCTAACACATCATTAGGCATAGGGGAAATTATTTATTCTAGGAGTAATATTAATGGCATAACCTAAGCTAGGTACACCATGAATATCCATAATATATGATACAAGCAATATACAAAAATCTCAAAACTAGATTAGCAAGATATGATAACTTGGATTTTTGACTCTAGGCGGTTAAGCCTCAAATCAAGAGCACCAAGCTCTGATACCAAATGAAATTACCCTAGGGGGGGGGGTGAATAGGATAAATACTAATCTAATCCAATTTAAAACTTATTAAACATTTTATTATTGCAAGTGTGATATCAACGAATTTATGAGCAAGAATATGTAATATAAACAAGGACGAAATAAGATGCAATAGGCGATATAAACAATGAGCACAAATATAAATGTACACCAATGACAAAAACAAAAAAAAAACGATATGATCACGGAGTTCGGTCAACCTTTGACCTACGTCTCTGCTCCTCATCTTGAGGAGATCTCCACGATTTTTCAACAAAGATACTACACACTCGGTTTTCTAGCTCATTGAAAACTCTCACAATCGGTTTTCTACGCGCACCGATAAACGTTTACAATTCATACACTTGTAACTACACAATACACCTTCTAAGTGTTGGCCTAGCCTGTGTCCTCTTCCTCAAGTGCTCAGATTTATAACCTCTCTCTAGGCTTTACTACCGACGTCACTCCTCTTGAAATCGACACCGTCTCTCATCACACACTCCTCTTGGTGTACTTGTGTATTACAATGTGATTCTCACAATTTGGCTCAAATAAAAGATTTTGTTCTCTGACAAGGTGAGAACTAAGTTTATGCTCACTCAATCACACCCATAACCCAAATATACTATATGTGAAAATACTCAAGCTCAATGGTTGTGTGTGAAACAATAAGTAAATATGAAATCTAAACTCAAATAAATCTAGCAAATTTATAAGATAAATAAAATGCAAATAAGCTAGATGAGGAGTTTAGAAAAACTTCTCTAAGAACAAAGGATGTTGATGATGATTTGAGGTTGAACTCCTCAAATACGAAGTCAACCTCTTCTCTTTGTGAAACTTTCTTCACACAAACAAACCAAACTTTTTCTCACTTAAAACTCAGAAACAAACAACCCAAAACACTTTTAAAAACACCTCAAAAACTCTACCAAAGAACCAATGTAGGGGTATATATAGCTCCAAAATCACAGCTCACAAAAACTAGTCGTTGGCTGGAAAAACACTATAAGTCGACTTATAACAGGGATGAGTTGACTGATAAACTAGCCGTTGGAACAATGTTGGCAGATTTTGGAATTTTTGCGTAGCTAGCTTTCTAAAATCCATTAAAAATAGTAAATCAACTACAAAAATCATGAAATTTTGGAAAATGGTTATAAAAATTTAATAAAACAGGTTAGAAAAAGAATTTCTCAAATTTTATTTTCTATTTGTGAAAACTCATCTGTTTTGTAAAAACATACACAAACGTGAACTTATTAAAACTTGATTTTGTAAATTCAATTAAATATAACAAATTAACTCCAAAATTAGTAAAACTTTAAAAAACATTTATAAACATGAAAAAAACATGTTAAAGAAGAAATTTTTTAAATATCAGTTCGTATTTGTAAAAACTTACTATTTTGCAAAACGGTTAAAATATGTGTTTGTTTCAAACTTGATTTTGATGGAATTTTTTCAAACAATTTTTGAGATATTTTTAAATGGATTAATAGACTTTAGAAAAGATATAAAATATTTGTGTTAAGTCAATAATCCAATTTTCTCAAAACGTGTACGTGTATGAATTGAGCTATAAGTATAACCACACATAATATAAAGTCAATAAGTTTGTCTTGGTTTGCTTTGCGGATGAAGCTTGATCTTGAATCTATAACTTTAATTGTATTGCCTTCATTCCGGTATTCCACCAACCTCCTTTAAATGTGACCGTGAATGCTCAATCCAACCAACCTCTAACTATGTTGTTTGTTTAGATTACCTAATAGGAAAATACAAACACTAGACAAACGATATTAGGGATTGTTTGTAAATCATCATAACAAGATTAGATAGTAGACTCATAAACATGAATCCTAACACTGTCAAAATTGACTAACCGATGTTACACTTGAGTCTTAGGCTTATCTGTTTAAGCCACTTAACTTTTCACTTAATTCCTGATGTGGAACTAAATGGGGGTCTCACACATTAATTCTAACCCATATTTTCATATTGAAACAAACACTAAAAACACTTTTCTATGAAAATCAAGATAATATTTGGAAATAGGTTTTATAATTGAAAACATATTCCCTTATAATTATGAAAAACTCCTAAACAAGCTTTAGATTTCATATAGCTTGTGGTCGAATATCATAATTTCAAGAAAAAAGGAACTTTTTCGAAAAAATTAACAATCATTCCACAGTAATTGTTTGCTTTATCTGCACTCTTCTCACTTCTTTATTCTTTTTCCAAAAAATTGGTTGAGCATGGAGAAAATTGAGACTTCCTACATTTCCATAAAAGTAACTAATTTTTCTTTATAGATTTTTTGTTTGACATCTTTCAGATTTTGAAATTAGTTCATCAAATTATTATTAGGCACCTCAAATCTTAAGTTGTTTGAAACAAGTCCCTCAACTTGTTTAAAGGGCTATTAGATGCTCCTGTTCTTAAGACATTTTGAAATTAGCT